AGGTTACATAAAAATTATTTCTAAAAATATCATTTAACTGCTGGTTTCAAATGCACATTTTTACACTTCAACTTACACCTGTAAAGTAGGACAGTATTGTGTCTATTTTACAAATGAGGAAACTGAGGAAAAGCGGGTAACTAATAGCAGGGAAAAAAATGGAATCTGAATCCTGTCTCCGTTTATTTCATTGCAATTGTTAAATTTACCAGGCATTCAGCAGCAGCAAAGCAGTCCAGGTTTCACTTCCTTCTCCAGAAGCTGCATGTAGATAAAAATCCACAAAAATAAGTAATGGCAGATTTGTAAAACTAGAATTCCAAAAGTATGTGTTTGTTATGTGATTTAATCCTCTTATCTGTGTAGTAATGACATAAATTATCATGCAGCTTGCCCATTTTGCAGCAAACAAGTAGTTCTTAAGTGCTGTAAAGTTATTTTGCCTTTTTTCCTTAAAGAGTGTATTCTCTCTGTGCAGACCGAATTTAGAGATTTATGTTCTGTTTGTTTATGTATTGGTGTTTGTAATCAATGACTGTTTTCAGACTCAATTGTGTAGATTAATTAGATTATGTCTGTACCAATTCAAGAAACACACTACTAGATTACTGGTTTGGACAGGTTTCCAAAGGTGAGTTCTTTCCTGTGTTGCAAATAGCCTTGAAATTCTTCCTGTCCTGGCTACAACGCTGCTGTCCAAGGAAATTCAGCTCTTACTTATTACCCTCCTCAGCCCATTGCACACAGGGAGCTGTTGTGCTTTTTCTGGGAAGGAACCATCACAGTACCGAAAGTGAAAGGAGCGTTTGGACATGCTTACGTCACTTTGATCAAATATTACAGAGCTTTCAGGCCCCTTCATTTATTTTTCCTATTTGTTCATTAGCTGGCTTGCAGTTTTTGCGTTATCCGTAATCGTTTCAGCCTGTTATTGTAATCTTAGGCTTTGTACCCTTGAACAAGCTTGGTTTCACGCCATTCTGCATCTCTACCTCTGCTCCATAAGTGCTTCCAAGTGCTGTTCAAATATACCTGACATATGTACTCTTGGTTCAAACTTAGCACTTCCTTGAACAGCAAGGAGAGGGAGATTACCCTAAGATTTCCCTTTTACCTGCAGAGGAAGTTCTGAGTGAGTGGAGTCACTTCCCTTTTACAAAGAGTTCAGGAAGGGGAAACAAGAAGTTACCCTGACTCAGGGTATGTCCTGCAGGACAAGTGCTGCTTAGCAATTGTTACCGTCTTTCAGGACGGGAAGTGGACAATGCAGAAAGACATTCTAAAGGTCAATTTAAACATATAGAAATTGTAATAGTCTATAATAGTAAACAGTAACAATATTAACATATCTATAGAAATATAAGTAATACACAACATTTTACTATTTTGGAGAGTTAGCAGAAAAACTGGTTTTGAACCTGTTTTTCCAAATTGATTATATTTAGAGTACAATTTACAGTAAGTTACAGAAAGCTAGGGATATCAGAAGCCAAAAACATAGCAGCTACATTAACATGACTTTTATTTTTAATATATGATAATGTTTGAGTTAAAAGAGCTTGTTTTGTCCTTTATTAATTCTGTGTTTGCATTTGCCAACTTGGTGATTCTCCCAATTCTCCTAATTTCTTCACTAGCTTTTAGTGTTTTTGCATTCTTAATTATTTTCTGTTGGGATTACATTGTTACTGGGCAGTGGCTGCTTTTGTTTGGAAGAGGAGTTGCAAATGCCAGAAACCATACATTGGAAAAAAATGGGAGCAGAAGGTATTGTTTAATCTGTTAATTGCATATAGAGTAGAAAGATATCTTTATTCTTCCATTTTAATCTCCTGTTTGTGATGAGAAAGAATAGCAGTCTACAGCTCTGTGGGTTATGATAGAAGCTAGACGTGTGGCCTTTCACTGTGCACTGATATGTTTTATGTACCATAGTTAAATTTCCTTGAAACACTTAATTCTTGGGGGAATGAAAGTGCAGATATATCCTGAATCATCCTAAGTAATAAGCCTACCTTTGTGTATAGCCAAGAAAGACTAGTGTTCTACCGTTATCTGACTTCCCTTTTCTTTCATACAGAATTTTTATCAAAGCTGGGGCAAAATGCACTGCCCTGTTTCAGATAATACAAAGATGCCTGTACTAGCCGTTATGTATACCAAAAGATTCAACATAATGACTTCCATGTAGAATTGCACAGTCAAGCTCATACTCCATAGTGTTGAATTATGCATGACATTTTTAATGGTGGAACAAAAACAGTAGCAGAAGGAAGTGCTGTAGAGGACATGCAGCCTTCACTGGTTATTAGGCACTGGTGTACGTGCATGCAAATCCCAAGATATTCTTTGTTGAAAGTCTGGTGATGTGCTATACAAATCAAAGCTATATGAAAGTAATACCTAATGAGGGAAGATTAAATAAAAGAAAAACTCTGACACAGGGAAGCGTAGGATACATACCAATTTATTGTACTTTAGAGAGTGAGAAATAAAATCTTGTATTTAGTTGGATGCTGAAAGTATCAACTAGTGTAAATATTTACTGTACAATAATTGCAAGGATTAGTTTTATTTGATAGTCCACAGTGATGATGCCTGTCAATGTCTATTCAGTGAAAAGTGGGAGAATGTAGCTAAAATTATTTAAAGAAGAGCTGCTGTATCTTAAGAGGCAGCTGTGATCCAAAGTCAGTCCATTGAAATTCCATACTCTGTTGTATTTATTTTGATATATTCCACATCCTGTTGTATATATTGCTTACCCAAATTCTATATCAAAACCAAATACTATATACTTGGTCTTTGAAAGTTGAGACTGACTTAACAGACCTGCTGTGTAATTTTTTGAATATCCAAAAGGTTTCAGTGAAAACTTGGTAAGGGTTCTGTTGCAATATTGATTTTCTTACCAAATACTCTAACCCCTAGACTAGGCATTTTTTGAGCCTTTTACGACAGTATATTACTAACATAGATTAAGCTGATATTTTGGTTTTATTTTTTTTATATATTCTATTCTAGAAAAAGGTATATTGTAAAAAATGATTTGAGCTTACTTGACCATTTCTGGTTGTTGCAAAGGGGTTGTTGCTTGCCAGTGCTGTCAGGCCTGGAGCCAGCACCAACATGGTGACATGAGGATGCTTGATCCGTTCATCCAGGATGTTTTCCTGTTGGCCAGGGAAGGCCCCCAGCCCACTCCTCCCAGACCTGCTCCCTGCAAAAGCAAGCTTGGCTCTTCTCACGTGCAGACTTGTCTCTGCAGAATGGTCCCCACTGCTCCCCTCCGCTCCCCTCTGCGGCTCAGCCGTTTCTCTCCCACTCCCTGCTCACCAGCCTGCACAATCCGGCCGTCCCTCCCAGCGCCGTCTGTAACCTCAGCCAGCTGCTCCTGCTGTTGCCTGTCAGATTGCCTGTCAGACGCAGCCGTTTCCCGGGCCGTGTTTGGCAGTTTCCCGTGTCCTCTTCCCTTAGCTTCGCCTCAGGCCAGGCCGTAAGACGTGGCCTCAGTGTGCGTTGTCCTGCAGGCCAAACACTGGCTCCTTGGCCCTTGTAGCCACCCCTGTAAAGGTGACCTGTTGCTCGGTTATGAAATACTGTATGTGGCCAGAGGGACTTCTTGGGAGAACAGAAAACTCAAGAAGTTTATCAGTCCTTCTCTGGAAAACTGAAAGTGTATAAACCATGCGAGGTCTTTGCTCCCAAGTGCAGTTCATTGAAATCAAATGCACCAAAGTAATTTCCTCACT